GCGGGGGCCGGCGCGCGGCGCGCAGCGCCCCCGCCTTCTCCCCGCCTCTCTTTGCAGTAACCCCGCGGTTCCCTGAGCCCGCAGGTCTCCTTCTTCGCCCAGGTTGTGCTGGCAAGGGATAGTTACTTCCCTCCTCTAAGCTGTTGCTGCTATGGCTTCCCCTCCCTACTCTCCCTGCGCTCTTCACTGCCCAGGCAAGAGGCTCTTCTGCTGTCTGTCGGAGCTTGACGTCAAGAATAGAGGGGTGGGGGTGGGGGTGGGACCGGGAAGCACTCCTGGTTTCTGCTGAAGCAAGGCTGAGAAGCCAGGGCACCTGGTGTCAGATGGTCTCCTATCTGGTGTTCCTCTTGGCTTCCTGGAGAGCAGAAACCTGCACAGCACCAAGACCCACAGCAAAGAAAACTACCTCAACCTGTGCAGAATTAAAACTCGAACTTCATACTGACAAGTAGGCCATGGAGGAAATTCGCTGGGAGCTTGCTGCTACCCAAGCAAGACATCCCAGGCTGCAGATTTCGAGGGAGGTGACTCCCAGGGAAGCTGGAGAAAAGCTTGGATAAGTTGGGGGAACTGCATCCAAAGAGACCAGGTGAAGGGACATCATCAGAAGTCCCAAAGGCTAGGAGAGGGTTTAACCACACTCATTTTTGTTTTGTTTTGTTTTTGTTTTTTGAGACAGGGTTTCTCTGTGTAGCTTTGGAGCCTATCCTGGCACTTGCTCTGGAGACCAGGCTGGCCTCGAACTCACAGAGATCCGCCTGCCTCTGCCTCCCAAATGCTGGGACTAAAAGCGTGCGCCACCAGCGCCTGGCCACACTCATTTTTTTTTAATTAAATTTATTCATTTATTTTACTTTGCCATAGCAGTTTCCCCTCTTCCTTCTTCCATCTCCTCTCCCATCTCCCTCCTACCCCCCCCAATCTCATTCTCAGTCCCTCACGCAGTGTGGGAATCACAGCTATATCCATGGAAGCATGACTCCAAACACTGAAATCTAAGTGAAGCTTTTTACTTGATTGGCAGTGTCCAAGGTTGGTCTCAACTGTGTGATTCATTTGGCAACCACTAGGATCAGTGATAGAGAAGAAACACTGAATGAACACAAAGTAACATGTTATGCAGATGATCACCCTCTTGGGTGACTATTCTAGGTCTTTCTAACACTTCCAAAGTCTCTTTATCAAGTACATGACTTTGAATCCCCAGCCCACTATTCAGCTGACTTTTCTCATTGCTGCTGGGGGAGCGGGGGTTGACTAGTTAGGGGCCACATTCACTAACAATCATGCTTCACTACCCATGCAGTGTTGTGCCCCCACTCATTCTGCCAGGATTAGGGTTCAGAATCCTGCCGTGGAATTGTTCATTTCCTATCCCAATGCACCATACTCACTGACACTCTATCTTCAGGTAAACCAGATGTCTGTCTCAACAGCGACCTGCAGCAGAATAAAAATATAACGAGATCTTGACTTCAATGAAACTTGGGACCATAACTTTAAGCCTTCTCACCCCACAATCTTAGTGTTTCCTTCTTAGTTGGTCATGGTTCCATTCACTGGACATGGTTCCATCTTCTAACTTATCAAAGGCCAACATAGTCCACTGACTTTAATTTACTCAGAAAATACAAGCTATAGAAAAAAGACTATATTATCTTTCAAAGTGGATTACTCGCCCACCTTCCACAGCCACTACCATGTCTTGCTTTGATTGGCAGAAAAAAAAAATCATTCCCTACAATCATCAAGCCATTTCTTACCCCTCACACAGCAACCAAAATCGACTTTCTAAAAAGAAACTACTCATTTCATTTCCCTGATTAACGTTCTAGAAGCTTCCCAACCATGTGAAGAAACCCACAAACTATTTTTATCTTGAAATCTTGATGGCCATCCTGTTTGTTCTTTTAGAAGAAGTTAATCAATTCTCATATAGTCTATAGTTTTTTCAAATACTGTGGCGTAGGCTCCTGCCTTGGAAATATTTATAATTAAAAATGAAATAAACCTTATGACCTTATAGGTAAATGCCACACAAATACCCCAATGAGAATATTTATTAAGAAAGGGAAAGTGTTTTGTGATGGTGTATGTCCTTCTGTATTCTGTGAATATATGTTTCTCTTATTGGTTGATGAATAAGTGCTGATTGGCCAATATCCAGGCAGGAAGTATAGGTGGGGCTACCAGACTAGGAGAATGCTGGGAAAAGGAAGGTAGAGAGGAGCTGCCAGAGAGATGCCATGTAGCTGCCAAGGGAGCTGGTAAGCCAAGACATAGTGGAGATACATAGATTAATAGAAATGGATTAATAATTAAGAGAGAGCTAGCCAAATAAGAAGTCTGAGCTATCAGCCAAACAGTTTATAATTAATATAAGCCTCTGTGTGTTTATTTGGAATGAAGGGGCTATGGGACCAGGTGGTATAGAAACCTCTGTCTACAGTTTTGTGCTTGGCTTCAGGAACTCAAAACCAATATAGAAACTACTTTTTCCTTTGTTAGCTGAGAAAGCTGACAGATGGAATAATGATATCAAGTATATTTTGAGGAATTTTTTCCAGGTTATTGACATTGTGAAATATTCTGTCTGGAAATGTCAGAGAATTGGTTTTTCATTGGGTGCCCTTTTTCAATGGAATGAGATGGCCACTGGAAACATTCAAGTTCTGGGAAGCATATTAAACCTCTTCTACACAGCTATTATGACGAACATCTCTAATTAGCATACTTCAAGCAAATTCATGGTGACAATGGGTAGAGAATAGTTCTTAATATAAGAATGTTTCATTGTGGTCTCAATGAAGGTGGTTTGTAAAAATAGTCTCATTTTTTTTTCTACCAAGTTCTATATATCTGGCCCTAATTTTCTTTTAGTTTGCAGTTAAGTGTTATGTTAATTTATTACTTCATGAGTGCAAGTGTTGAGAAACTCAAACACATAAATTGTCTTTCTTTCTTCCTTTGTTGCTACATTATGCAAATGTTTCCCATACACCTTACTGGAGAAGAGAAAACAGAAGCTAATTAAAGTACTAAATGGCCACATCTAGCCAGTTCAAGCTTCCCATCATTCTTCATGTTTCTCATACTTAGTTCCCAAACCTTTTGACTTTCCAATAAAGTGGTGCCTTTGTGAATTATTCTCTTCATATTTCTATGGGCATCAATTATAATTTAGTTTCCAACATAATGACAGAACCCGTTGACATGGGTGGGGGAAAATTTGCAAGGCCCCTAACCTAGATAAAGCACTGCAGTAGATTCAATGGCTGCTGAGAGAAGCGAGGATGCATATAATATATATATGTGTGTGGTATATTTTATATGTATTGTATATATGTGACATACAGATATTATATGTGTAATATAAAATACATATTGCTTTATGAGTGAAAATTATGTGTGTTTATGTAAATAATAGAGAAGAGATCATTCATGAGTTTGAGAGGGATTGGGAGCACAGAAAGAGTTGTAATGGAAAAAGGGAGGAGTAAAATTGATGTAAATGTATTTCTCATGCACAAAATTTACAAAAATACAAAATCAAACTAAAAGTCCTTGGTTTTCTTTTTTTAGAAGTCCATCTCCATGCCCTTTCACTACCTTGTGAAGTTCCTCCACTAGATTGTCCTGTCTCAGCCACCTCCTTGTCTCTCACTCTGTAGATGTATGTCCTTTCCTCTATTAAGTTTCTTTGAGCCATGTGTGTGCTAGGTTTAGTTTGCTTTAGTGGAGTCCCCACATACCATTCCCTCAGAAATGCACTCGGACGCCACATACACGAATTCTATCCATTCTCTGCCAGCTCCCAGGAACCTCTCTCCCCAAACACTACTATCTTTTTCTCTCAAGTATACAATTTGGAACTTGACTATGAACTGTTTTATTTTACCATACATATTCTTATACTTCTAATTAAAATATAGTCAGAAAAAAGAGAAATGCCACTTTTCTTCTGTCCAACCCATCTTTTCCCTTTCTTCTCTTGTCATACGTATTGATTCGTCATCATCTCCATAATATTGTAAGAGCCATTTATTTCATTCCCCAGATTTTGATTTTTCCTTTGCTGATCAGGCCTGTAATTTCATACTAGGAAAATTTCCTGAAGGCCCAGTAATGACTGGGTTGCTCCTTCAGGAAAAATGTTCAAGAAGGGGCTGAGGAGACAAGTCAGTGGGTGAACCACTTGTTGTATAAGTCTGAAGACCTGGATTCAGATCTTCAGACCCAATATAAAAGCTAGGCATGGCAGCATGGATCTGTAATCTGGCCCTGGGGACATGGAGACAGGCAGATCCCCCAGTAGCTTCCTGGGCTGGAGTCTAGCTAACAAATCAGTGAGCTTTAGTTTCACTGAAGTGACCGTGTTTCAAAAAACGGGATGAAGAGTGACAGAGTAGGATATTCATTGTTGACCTTTGACTGCCACATATATGTGCATATACAAGTATGCAAACCTGCATCCACACGGCCACAGAAACACATTACACAATACTCTCATACATGCACAAACATAAGTGCAATACAATACTATGAACTGTGACTTTATATTACCTAGGAAATTGCACTTTAATTCAGAAGTTAGGTTTGTGAGATTATCCATAGCCTAATTTTCACCAGTCATTGCATCTTATCAGCTGTTCTCTGATAGCAAGCACACTGAAGTGATATTGAATAGGCCTTATTCTCCTGAACTAAAATCCTTCATCAGCTCTTTTTTCTTTCTTTTTTCCATTCTAACTTTCAAATCCATATCAACTTCCTTATAGACTTTGGTCTTTCATACCTCTGTGATATTTAGGGTTTTCTTTAGATATCTGTGGTAGATTCTGTTCCATTTTGCCTTGTTTTGTTTCCTGTCAATGTGAAAAATATTTAATTCATTTTTTCTTTTGCAACATTACTATAATATTTTTTTCA